ACGAAGAACCCAAGCAGCATTTTTCCAGAATCTAATCATTGTCTGTTGCGAGGAAATGTTGGGAGATGCATTTCCATAAATGTGCGCAAAACTTTGTCTATATTCCGCTAATGTTGAAAGAACAATGTTTTGCATGTGCAGTGTTTCAATTAAATAAGAAATGCAACTAAAATCACATGTGAATAAGTTTGTACACATCATAAGTCAATGATAAAAATGCTGAACCGTCATCCTGTCGTCTTCTTCGTGGTTTGGGCCTATGACTAATGTGACGTGGAATAAGTGTTTCCATTGTGTTTTTGCAAAATAAACCAAATTTGATATGGATTTAAAAACAAAACAAAACAAAAAAACATTTCATCCTAGTGCCAAAACTTATTATGGAAATTGCTGTGTTTCCATTGAGTGAAATTATTTTCTTAATATCAAATTATATGGTCGATGGAAACACAACTTCTCACTCTTCACCCAACAATTTACACTAAATATACTTGAGCATTTTTATGATTGTTTATCTTTCTATGTAGTTATCATTTCTGATGAATCATGATTATAAACTAATGTTACTGTCCATAAGTACCATATGTTTGGGAAGGAGAGCCAGGAGAAATGACACTGTGTGGGTAGATACAGCCAAGATGTCTCTGAATGAATCAGTTGCTATAACACTCAACAAGACGACATAATAATCAGAAGGTACAACTCTGGGATAAAGGCTGTGGTTTCAAAAGTAGTTGGGTTTTTTATTGCTGTTTAAAGATGTGAATCCAGACATTATCTTTACTGTTGATTATTTCTGAAAGAAAAAACGTGCAAGAAAAAGCAGAAGTCTTGAGTCAACATTATTTCTTTGTATTCTGTATTCAAGGAGCCACTCTTCATTTATTTGAACTTTCTTTAGAAATTTGGCATTTTTTTCCCTCTTATTTAGAGTTTTACCAGTGAGTCACTTAGATCTAAGAGAACTCCTAAGCTCACCAGGAACCAGCGCATAAAACCTTCAAACTAACCAGCTTTAAAGTGGATCTGTATCCACAGTCACAAGAACATGATTCCTTTTGCAGAATTGATGGAAATTTAAAGATGTGGTGGAGGGATGCATCTCTCATGTCCTGCTTCAGATGTAAAAACCTTGAATAAATGATTTTCCAAATTGGTAAATTTGCAGTGTTCACCATAGTTTGTCTTCTTATCAAAAAGCTGAGTTTCAGATTCCTGTGATCTACATTAAGCATCAGGTAAGCAGTTAGAGTTTACCTGTGTAGTAAAGGAGGCACGGCACGGCCACCAGAACTTCAACACCCAGAATGCTCAGCATCACAGAGGTGTGGATCGTCTGCGGTAACCTCAGAGCCAGGAGCAGCAGCAGCAGAACATTACCTGGCACACGAAGAAACAGGAGCGCTTTACTGCCATCTTGTGGAGAAATTTACCCTTACAGAAAATTATAAATATTCATATGTAGTGCAAGCTACAATGGACTGTCCAGGATGACCCCTCTCTCGCCCGTTGACAGCTGGAGAAAGGCACCAGCACCCCTCTTGACCCCAGTGGGATGAGGGTGTAACAAAATGCATGGATGGATGGATGGATGGAGAGCAAGTTTAGATTTTTTTTTATTACATCTTGCATCATTTTTATTACACTTCCCAATTTTATGTGACATTGTATTGGTCTACATGACATAAAATACCAAAATAGAAATATTACAGTGAAATTTGTGGTTGAGTTGTAGAAAAAAAAGGAAACGTCTTAATTAGTGTGAAAGCACCGTCTGTGTTTCCATTAGCCATAAAATTGTGCAACTTGAAATTACAAAAATAAACTCTCTCAATGCAAACACGCAAATTTCAACAACTCAAACTCGACAAAGAGGTTTTGCCCCAGGATGAGGTGGTTTTCCAACTACATGGAAAAAGATGTACAGTACAAGTGATCAACAGCCAGATGTTACTATTAGACGTCTCCTCCGATTGGCTGATAGATGATGAGTACTAACGCCATGGCTAAGTTATGACTATACATCTTATTTAACTGCTTTATATCCCTCACTGTCATGATTTTTAATGAATTATTTCATGAACAAGCTTATTCATGTGTAATTCTTTTTAAATCAATTTCTTATTTACCATAGATACTGCGATGGCAAAATTGTGGCTTTTCGACATCGGCATATCATAGACAAAGATTTGCTCACATCTGTAATGAAAACGCAGCTATAGAGAGCTATGTGCCGTCCCACCTGTTGAATGTATGACGAGTGGCAGCTGCTTGAGCCTCTGTGTCCGTCGGTAGAAGCTCAGGTATCCCCGGCTGCGGACGCGCCTGTGGTGGTGGTGCATCCAGACGGTGTGCAGCAGCATCAGCACCCACAGGAACACCTTCCCGAACACGATGACGCTGTCGCCTTGCACGCTGCCCAAAATACGCAAGCACACCTCCTCCTGGCCGAACTTCAGAACACACAACACGCCCACACAAACCGACAGCACCACGTACACAACCTGAGGACACCAAGAGAACAGACGCAGAAACTGGTTTAAGTTGAGGAATGTTGTAACGGTAATGTAAAACGCGAGCCATAATAATAGAAAAGTAATGAATGTGCACATTACGTACGTGCATTAGAGACAGGAGACCAGCAGGACAGGTTGTTGGCACAGACTGAAACTCTCTCCTCATGGCAGACTGGAGAGCATCAGCGGAGATCAGTGGTCCGTCCACCAGAGAGTCCTCCTCTGTGCTCCGCGTCATGTCTGCTGACGAGCCTGCCTGCTGGAGGAGGACACCAGCTTGGTCAAGAAAAATTTTTTTTTCCCTCTTTTTTAAAGGTTTTTGGGGGTACTTGTGGCCTTTATTTTAAAGCATACAGACAGGAAATGGACAGAGAGTTAAGGAAGAAGTCATGCAGCAAAGGTCACAAAGTTGGGAATCGAACCCCGCACGGCTGCATTAAAGACTAATAGCCTCCATACATTTAATGCCCACTCCACCGCTACACCACATGACGAATTGGCCTGTCTCAATAACACATTTTGCTGGGCGATAAAAAGGCCCAGAAGTTAATAAACCATATTATCGGAATATGGTTTATTGCAATAAACGATAATATTGTTGTTTTCAGACCATTTTCAAGTGGTATAGTGGTAATGGCAAAACAAATGCAAATACACCCAGTAAAACATCAATATAATTTCAATTCTAACATTTAACACTGGAAGGGGAAGACATTTTAAATATCCAAAATAAATCAATAAGGCAACATAAATAACAAATAAAATGAATTATAAAGTGTGTGCTGGGATGACGTACTGAAGGTGGAATGTCAGAAAGAGCAGGAGTTTCTTAAAAAGCCCAATTTCAAAGTACTAAACTGCGAAGTCACAATTTATTTTATGTCATGTTTGATATATGTAGCATTTTTATAACAACTGGAACTAACAGTCACTTGATTGAGCTACAAAATGGCACTTGGTGCCTACAAAATACCGTCTCTTTAACTTCGCCCTTCAGGTTGTCTGCATTGTTGACTCTGGTATCTCTGTTCCTCCTTATCTACAAGTCTATAGATAAGTAGGCCTGAGTGGCCTGGCCAATCAAACACTGACGCCATGGTCATTAAAGCCGATGTAAGCACTTCTGACTGAGAAAATGACATGGCTTCCCAACCATCCCCAAAATGTACAAACTTCTTTAATTCTGTACATCTTCCTCCAGACTCTGGGGTCCTGATTTCAAAAAGCCTCTTTGATGCTTTGATCAACCTTTACTTCTGGTTCTGTGCACAGCTCACGTTTTATGAATCTCTTCCCGATTCTAGCTTTGCTTCACAATAACTATAGTTTGCATTCATTAACGCTAAAGGAGCCCCAATCTCGTATTAAGTCCATATACTGCAAACTAACAATCTTTCCAGTCGGCTGACATTTCTGATTTGAACACTTTTGTTGGATGGACTGTTGCCCTGCGACAGACTGGCGACCTGTCCAGGCTGACCCCGCCTCTCGCCCGGAACGTTGGCTGGAGATAGGCACCGTCAACCCTCCCGACCCCACTAAGGGGCAATGGTGTAAGAAAATGGATGGATGGATGGACATTTTTCCGAGAAACTGAATTTGAGCTTTTTGTTAGTTGAACGCTATAATAATCAGCATTAAAGGGAAATATATCATTGAGTGTCTGATTAAAATATAACTCATTCAAGCTGATATTGTAGAATCTGACTACAGGCACTAGTAAAATTAAAACTCGACATTAGCCTTAAAAATTACCCAGAAATGACAGATAAACGACAATGAAAGCGGGTTATAGAACTTTGTGGGTTCTTCCAGACTGTCCGTCCTGAAAACATAAAGAGTTAATGAAAACTTACTGCCTCAGCGAGCAAAAAATTTACCCTGATGTTTACAACTCACTGGTCCAACTAGCTAACGAGCTCCAAGGCTATCTGACTACAGCTAGCCGTTAACATGGCAACCAATGACCGTAAAACGACAGGTTACTTACTGCATTAAGAGCAGGTCTCGCTGACTCCATGAACTTAGAGTATGTATAGATCATAAAACAGACCAAAAACACACATCTGTGCGTAACAACAACATACTTCTTCCTGATTTTTATTGGCGGTGACCGAGGAAGCATCACCGCCACCAACAGGTAAGGAGTGCTGTTACATGACTCTAAATAATTAATAAATAAATAAATAAATAAATAAATAAATAAATAAATAAATAAATAAATAAATAAATAAATAAAACAGGACTAACTACTAATCTTTTTTACATATATGTATTCCCAATTAATTATAAATTAAATTCCCAATTAATTATAATTACAACACTGTGGCAGGTCGCCCTCAGTCAGAGGACATGAAAGCCAACAAGACAGGAAGTGAAAACTTATTTTACTGCATTAATATTAGCCTTTTCACTTCTCTACAAAATTACTGTAAAGTCACCACTTTAGGACCAATAAAATGAAGGAAAGTAGACAAAAACACACCAGATTAAATTGTTTTATTGATAAACATACACTTGTTATAAAAGACAATCGGAGCTTTGTTCCACTGAGGGCTAACATGGCTGTGAGGTGTTTACACCAAGCTGAGGCAGAGGGAAGAATAAATCTGTGGAGAGGCAGCGCTTAGACAAAATAGAAGAGGTTTCAGGACATTTTGATTCGCCAGAAAATAATTAACTTTCTGTCTCTAAGTAGACAGTGGGTTATTTGGGGAAGTAGTGGTTCTTCAGACATTATTTGCTGGTATATAACTGTACTTTGAATTAAATCACACGCACAACAGTTCTATACCAGGCATGCACCCACTCACACACATTGTGCCTAGACCCAAAGGTCAAACTGAGCATACAACACCTCACCATTGCATTCATTACATAAGGCACTGATTCAGATGCAGTCTGAGAAGAAAGTAAAGCTAAAACATCAAAAACGGGAAAATACTTATTCATCAATAACATGCAGAGCCATTTTTGCAAAATGAAATTTGAAGAACAGTTTCTGTAAGTTAAAAGGGATTGTAAAGCATTAAAATGATTAGAATGGTGTCAAAATAAAACTAAAGGCTCACTGTCCTTCTGAGAAAACACCACAATAACTTATATATGTTTTTTTCGTCATGCAAAACTGTAAACACAAAACCAAAATTATGTGTTAAAAGTTAGGAGTAAGGCATTACAATCATCAAGCTACTTTAGGTTATTCAATTTGAATCACCTTACATCACATTTGGAAATAATGGAGTCGCATCAGTCCAAAAGCAGGATTTAAGGTGTCAACATTTAATGTTCAGCTTAAGGGTTTAGCGTGTAACGAAGGAAATTTCAGGCATAGATGTACAAACCCCTAAATGTGTTTTTTTTTCCCCCCATGAATATATCAATGCCAGTCACATTAAAACAGGCGTTTACATGTGTACAGTTAAGAAGTACATCCAAAGTACGTTGTCAAGAGGTTCAGTCCAGTTTAAAAATAAAACAAAGCAAAAAGAGTCTGTTGTTTGTGCAATTCAGAGTAAAAACAGAATATTTCAGAGGTTCCAGGCTTTTCCCAAACAGCCAGACTCGTAGTTACAGAACTGGAGTTTATTCTTTCAGCTCCTCCAGTGTTGTAGTTCCAGTTATTCACGTAGTTCTTATAGAGGAGTGGGCTGACCTCTGCCTGCAAAAAAAGCAGAAGTTTTCTTTCTGTAGCAAGTGGACGAAAATTTTAAATCTGAATGGATTGAAAAACATGGCATCATGTTTTTCTAGTTGTGCCTCTAGAGGGCGCATCTGACAATTCAAGAAGTATTTCATTAAAGATAGCGTTTCACTGATAGAACAATAAAATGATAATAAAAAACTTTAAAAGAAGAGTTTGCCAAAAAATCTGAAAGTAGAAATCTATTTCTTTTCAAAACTCAATGGAGAAAAAAAAACAAGTTTACAATCCAGCTGTTGTTGAAGCAACAATTTTTATTCCAGTTATCAGCCTCGTACATTTCATCTAAACACTAGATTTTCAGAGAGGACACCTTTGTTATCAAACTTATAAGCAGGCTGTCAAATGACACTGCATTTATTCATTTTAAGTTAAATTGTTTTCTGTGATCTAACCACACATTTTAAATGATTCTTCTCTCATAGTGCGATGGCAACATTTAGTCATCTTACCAAGCACATATACAGCTACTGAATTTTATCATACTTTACAATAGTGCAAAGTATTTTCAAAGTGATTTTTTTCCTTTGAGAGCAAAAGTCAAAGTGCTGAAACCAGTGTGTGTGTGTGTGTGTGTGTGTGTGTGTGTGTGTTTCTTTGATCAATGTGAATGTTTTCCCACCTCGAGATGCGATGTAGCACTCATAACAGCTCAGCAGTCCGTTCCGAATCCTGACGTCGGTCCCTGCTGTAGCGTCACCCAGTTGCCCTTTGCATACGCCACACTGAAAAATGACATATTTTTTTATTTTTTATCTTCTTTTTAGGAGTTTTGGGTGACCAAGTCAAACATTTTTCCTGCAAGGCTAAATCCCATTTCAGTTCTAGAAGCAAAGTGTCCAGACTGCATCTGTTATCTAGTGGTAAAGGCTTTCAAGCTCTTCAAAATGTAGTTTTTAGAATCAAATTTATGCTCGATCCAATCACCCTCTCTATCCCTACCACTGTCTATTTGGACCTGCAGAGAACAGTGGTATGAAACAGACCTTAAAACACTGCATGTGGAAAAACAGGCCCAGAGTGTCAATGATCATAGCAGCTCCTCTTCCCAGAGGTTTGGAGCAGCCCGAACAAAGTCGCTTCCCACTGACGCACCTGAAACAAACACAGGAAAAAAATGGCGGGCGTGACCTGCTGACACCTGGGCGTCTTCACGTGTCGGTGTGTGAACATTATTTACCTGCTGGGAGACGGAGGCTGAGGTGCTGAAGGGGAGACGTCCTGTTTACCTGCTACAGCATCATGTGATCCTGATCTGAATTACATTTGGAAAGCAGGAAGTTTGTCACGTTCAGTCTTCAATGACTGTGAACCACCAAGTTCAGCCATCAAATACGAGCTTCTTGTATTTTCTGTGCATGTTTAGGCCTGAATGTATTTCATAGATCTTCTTTAAAGATTCCAGGATATCTGCTCTACTTTCGAGGATAATAAATGAAAGAAATCCATTAACCAGTAACATAACATTAAGGGTTATTGCTGCTAAAGATGGCTCTACAAGATATTAAATCTTAGTATGTCTACATGATAACAGTGAGGAAACTATTTACATTGTTCACTAAAAGGTTACATGTTAATTATTTTGGAACCTGGTAAAGATTATTATATTCTCATGTGTAAAAATACTGTAATAAACTCAGAGAGGGTGCACTTAATGTTTACCGTGACCAGAGGCAAATACTATTAAAATCTGCATTGATCATGTTTACATTCACCTTTTGACATTTTGCATCTGGTTGGTCTGAGGGCTGCGGTCCAGAGATGACGTCTTCCACATTTCCTGTTTCTGTGGGAGCAGTTCATCACATCCAGAATCTAGCAGAAACACACATCATAACGTCTCCCATGCAATGCGGTTCACACAAACACGAGGACGTAGTCCTGAGCATGTGTGCTTTATTCTCACCCTGGAAAAAATGAAGCTTGGACGCGTGCTGATCCTCACTTCCTGTGTGGATTTTCTGTCCGTTCTGCTGAGCAGACACGTTTCCTCTCACTGCGCCATTGTTGTTTTCTTCGGCAGAAAACGGCGCTGTGGCTATACGCTCCGGCTGCCTTTGCACTGAGGCAGAGGGACTGAGAGGGGCTACAGTCTCTTCTAAAATTCGTCTTTCCTGGAAGAATAACACAGATGGAGAACAGAATGAGGAAAATCTAGGATAAACCGGCTAAGAGGAAAATGATTTTTGCTTCCAGCGTCTCCATCCATGTGCTCCCACCTCTTCATTGTGCTTCCTCTCCTCCTCCTCCACCTCCAGCTGGGCCTTCTCCCACTCTTTCTTCAGCTTCTCTTGTTCTTTCTGGTATTGTTCCTGATGACAGACACAGTTTATGTTCAAAGACAATCATCAAAAGCGAACACTCACTCACACACACAAATGTAACACACAGACATACAGTTCTGGTTCACGTGTCATGGACATGAACGTCACGGTAAGTTTAAGCTTTCCAATATATAAACAGCTGTTTTTCTAGGATGCAGTAATGATCCAACAAGCAACATCAATGCATTTTTCAAATCAGAGCTGAACTGAAAAGATTCAACTGGTTTTCTCTAATACGTACAAGGCCCAAAAATCTCTCATCTGACACTGGCTCACTTATGGACTACAAGAACTATTCCTAAAATAATAGGAATAGCATTTTTGGCATTTCTTGACAAAAGTGGCTTTGGCAAAAAAAAAAAAAAAAAAAAAAAAAAAAAAACCCCCCCTCTTTTTTCCAAAAGATGTTTTAGGCAAAAATATAAAAAAATAGAACCACACAAAGTTAGCTTGACACAGAGAGCAGCTAGATGTGTTAACGGCTCAGGTTTGCGCAACTGTAGCGACTGACCTCAGATAATACGTAACAGGATATATATATAACTAAAAATAGAGAAAAAATAAGTCCAAAAGAACAAGAAGAAAAAAAAACAAAACAAATAACATCTTTGACAAGAAGGACCCAAACGATTCAGTGACAAAGTAGCGTTAGCTGCAATTCATATCGAGCGCATGGGAACATTAAACACGGACAAAAATAGTGACTTGTTTTATGTCGTGATTGTACGATGACGTATTGGAGCCATTGTGGATAGAAAAAAACAGGAGTAAATTTCCTCCAAAAACCTCAAATTTTCTAGAAAACCATTTGTAAATATTTGAACCCCAAAAGCTGAAAATTTGCGAAAAATAACTCAGAAATGTTGAGATTAAGCTCATACATTTTCTAGAATAAACAAGGAAATTTCTTGGCTCTAAAAGTTGAAAATATGCAATAAAAAACTTAGAAATTTAGAAATTATTCTTAGAAATGTTCCAGAAATAACTCAGAACTTTCTGAGTTTCAAAATTCAAAAATGTTTAGGTTTTGAAACTCAGGAGATGTCCAAAAGTCAAAAATTACAATCACTGCACCCTAGAGAAAAGCCCAACTAAAAGTAGAACTTGAGTTTTGACAGATCCATCCAGAACATCGTTTCTCTCCAGATATACAACCTCACGCTGCAGTACCTGTAGGAGGCGCTCCTGCTCCTGCTGCCAGCTTTCCAAGCGCTTACGCTCCTCATTGGGGTCCCAGACCCAGTGATTAACACGTTTAGCCAAGTTCAACATGGGGGTCTCAATCTGACCAGACCCGACCAACAAGCACACCAACACAAAAAAAAAACACACATGTATACGAAGCAAAAGGGACAGAAAGAGAGGAAAGGTGAGGACACAAGTCTGACTACAGCGACCACTGGAGACGAAAGGTCAGGATGGGGTCAAATCTGAGGATGGAGGAGAAACAGAAAGGAAGAGACGGAGCTGAAAATGTAGAGATACTTACAGTCACGCTGCTCTCCTCCAGCCCCTCTGTGGAAAGACGGACACGTTAAACATCCTGACTGCTGGAGGAAACAGTCCAAAGTTTTCAAGATGGCTGCCAGAGAAGAGCAGACTTACCAGAGACACTGGGAGAGTATTCTGGTAAACTGCTGGGTGACTGAACAGGCTGAGGATTCCCTTTCTCTGCTGGCGTCTCAGTGGCTCCATCCTGAGGGTTATATTTAAAATAAATAAGCAACTAAAGCCAAAAGGCTGTCTCCAAGTATCTGCCTCTATCAGAAAGTGAAGCAACAACAGTGAAAGACTAGAACAATGACAGCATATTAGGCCCATTGTACATGGAAAAAAACGAGTAAATTTCCACCAAAAAACTCAGAAATTTTAAGAATAATCTCAAAAATATTTTAGAAAAAACAAGGACATTTTTGAGTTTGTCTCATATTTTTCAGTAGAACATTTCTGAGAGTAATCTCAAAATTTCAGAGTTTTTCAACTTTTGAAACTCAAATGTCCTTCTTTTTATTGAAAACTTTTTGGTATTAATCTAAAGATTTCTGAGTTTTTTGGCAGAAATGTATTCCTCCCTTTTTTGTCCCATCTACAATGGCCCTGTCATTCTGAAACACTTCCTGACCATTGCGGTGATCTTTTCAATGTGCTATTCTTATTGAGGTCGCTGTTTTCTGTTCATGTAAATGTCTGTTAGAATATCCAAATAGAAACCAGACACCTGCTTTACATGACAAACCCTCCCAGGGAAGAAATTAAAGTGATATAACAACAGCTTTATGTTCTCAACTGTACAGTTTCTCACATGTTAACATAGTGAAGCTAAAAGCTAACTAAGAGGTGAAGGAAACAGCTGAGTCTACAGGAGGCTGGAAAGTATTCCGCCTCCGGTATTCCTTCTGTTTTTCTTTCCTTACATCATAGAATTGAAACGTTTTGTTCATTTTGACTGAACTACACATTATACCAGCTCAGAGTTTTTCAGTGCCTTGCAGAAACATTAATACCTTCTGAAACTTTAGCCTTGTTTTTCTTGATAGCACAAGCTGATACTGATCCAAACTGACTGAAAACTTTTCTTTTTTATCAAATAAATTACTATTTATTTGTTTCTTAACAGAATAATTTCTGTTGTGATGTACACTAGTACATCACATTTAAATACACTGGTAGCTTCACAAGCTTGGTCAAACATATAAAAACAGCTTTAATTTGCTCAGTCAATGCGATTAGGAGTAGAACACCCAATGGAAAATGAATAATAATAAATAATAAAAACTCAAACAAAAAAATAATAAAAACTCAAACAAAAACAAAAAGTTGACTACCTTGGTGAAAAATAAACCGCAACAAACCTTCTTACAAATGATTCAGAAAGAACAATTAGGAATTTAAAATATAATGTAAGACTAAATAATAAAACATGGTATCACTCAGAGCTCTAAGTATAGAATAAGACTGGACAGATCTGCCCTCATGGATCAGACACACTGTCATCGTTACAGATATTAATGTTTGATCTCTAATCTGAAGGTTTGAACAAATTTCCATCTGGGATTGGGCTGCACTTAGTCATTCTGGTGGTCATAAGTTCAGGGGTCATCTGTAGTGTTTGTTTTCAGTCTTGGTTACGTCTGACCAAATCATGTTCTTCTCCTTGGTTCCTGTACTCAGAATATGATGAGACGAGATATAAGTTTCTGGCCAGAACAACACAAAGTCACTTGTTGGTTTTCTCACTGTAAAATAAACCACTGACCACGATAATGCTAACTTTGACAATAAATTATGTTGCAGCTTTGTTTCTGCCTCCAACTTATTAAAACACATTCAACAAGCTACCTTGAACTGTAAAACTGTAGAAAAAGCGTGATCATAAAACTACCTCAACGTCGTCCTGGACGTCTGGGTGGAGCGGCTCCACGTGGGTCTTTGTAAGTTCTGTCACGATGGTGGTGGTGATGATGCAGTTTCGGCCTGCGATCAGGGAGCTGATGGCGGAGCCTGAAGTCAGGGCTGGTCTTTCGGTCAGTGGAGGTTCCGGCTGCTCTGCGCTGTCCTCTGGGGGATCCGGTTCCTGCGTGTGCTGGGAGGAAATGGCTGGGTTTTCCTGTAGCAGGTCCGGAAGGGAAGCGAAGTCCTCAGCCGTCTCTCCGTTCAGCCGCACCGACCCGTCCAGCTGGCAGGAAGCAGAACAGCAGTTAGAACACAGTACATCTTTGATGCAGGCTTTTAAATAAGCAGCTAATTTTATGCTAACATTATAAAAAAAACACATGTTCATTACAGGTTATTACAGATGTATTTTTTTCTTTTATGAAAGAAAAATACATCTGTAACATGGAACAGTCGCTCCCAGGTTTCAGATCTTTATTCCTGTAACTGATTGTAGAATATTTGGCCTTTTATTGGTTATACTAAAGCACATTCTTCATCATCACAGCTTCTCTAGTTAAAAGGTGTGACGATAAAAAAACATCTGTGAAATTATTCTGTTAAGAAAACAAGCTATTGGAGACAAAATGATGTCTGAATGTTATGGCTGAAAAATCACAACATAATTGATTCATATCAGTTTACATTGATAATTACTGATTAGATTTTTGTTTTAAATATCTGAAATTCTGCCAAAACTTTTCTGTTTTATTCAGTTTTCACTTCACATTATTTTATTTTTTTTTTACTTTTAAGCAGTTATGAAGCACAGTGGCAAAACCTGAAACTGCTGCCGCACAAGTTACTCAGCAGGTTGCTGAGTGAGTGAGTTAGCTGATGCCTCCAGCCTCGCTTAGCTCACTGTGAGAAGTGGAGCAGCTAAAGCCTTTCTTCTGCCTACATCTCCCAGACATATATTATTGATTTAGTGTCCAACCCTGCTGTAAATCAATCTAAACAAATATTTTTTTTAAATGTTCTGTCGTGGCGGAGTTGGTAGAGCCGTTGCCTTGCAGCAAGAAGGTTCTGGGTTTGATTCCGGTCTTTCTGCATGGAGTTTGCATGTTCTCCCTGTGCATGCATGGGTTTTCTCCGGGTACTCTGGTTTCCTCCCACAGTCCAAAAACATGTCAGGTTAATTGGCCTCTCCAAATTGCCCCTAGGTGTCAGTGTGTGTATGCATGGTTGTTTGTCTCTGTGTTGCCCTGCGACAGACTGGCGACCTGTCCAGGGTGACCCTGCCTCTCACCCAGAACGTTAGCTGGAGAGGCACCAGCAACCCTCCCAACCCCACTAAGGGACAAGGGTGTAAAGAAAATGGATGGATGTTCTGTCATCATTTAGTTGATCTAGATGCTCAGTGGGACTTGGTGAAAAATAAAATCGTCAGCTTCTTATCAAAATCAGAAAACTGATGGTCTTTAATCAAACCCCAATAACACTCAAATCGTTTTCCTAACCAATGTGTTTGTTTTTCTGTTGAGTTGTGCAGAATCAGTGTCACATTTAGGGTGAAAAAGCTATTAAAGTAATTTACTAGCTTCTCATTTTTATTTTAAAAACATATTTTCACAGTCCTGAGATCCACAGGATGAGACGACAGAAATGCAGCGCTCCTACCTGTTGGACCTCCACAAGTTTGTGTTCAGGAGAACACCTGGGCGGGCAGTAGTGCTTGGCCGCCAGCAGGGGGAGCGGTCTGGAGGGTGCAGATGGAAGGGAGGACAGTTTGTGTTTGGGTTGAGGTGCAGCAGCAGGTTCAGTGGGGGGCTGAGGGGCTCCTGGGTCAGGCTGATTCTTATGCTCATCATGGGGGTCTGTCAGATGGGAGGAGGGCTCAGGAAGCTGTTCCGACTGGAGCTGCTCACTGTGTGAGTTTGTGTCTTTGAGTTGGAGGGCATTTGGTTCCAAAGAGCTGTTGAGGTTCACACCAGACTGATGTTTTTCATGGCTGTCCTCTGTCTGTCCACAGCGTTCCTGTTCAGTGAGACCGTCTGTGTCCGGCTGGTTTGGATGCTCCAGCCTCTCTGAGTCACCGTCGCCTGACGTCTGGCTGTGCTCCTGCTCCGTCTGGTTCAGGAACTGGTTGGGTTTGTTGGTGCTTCTGGGCAGCTTCAGGCTGTCCAGTGTTGCATCACTGATGGTGAAGCGGAGGGCGTAGCGCTGTAAAACCAAAGCTGCCTCCTCTGGAGTCGCTGCCTGTCTGTATGCTTCACACAACTCAGCTTCCCTGCGTTCTCTGAAAAACAGGAACCAAGACAATTTAAAGGGGCAGTATTATGCGTTTTCCAGGCACATACTGCCATTTTATAGCACAATCATGTTCCTACTTCTTCAGTTGTCATAAAAATGCTATATATATAAAATACAACTTACAAAGTGTCTTACTGTCTTACACTTACTTCTCCTCCACAATCTCCTTGTAAGTCTTAATGCTCTTCCTCTTATTGCCGTCCACTCCGTTCCCCTTCATCCTTTTCTCTATCCTCTTCCTCTCCTCCTCCTTTTTAATCAGCTCCTGTGATGCGCTGCGGCGGCGGTTCTTCCAGCGGGCCAGGTCCTGAGACAAAAGTTCACAGCATCCATCAGTTTCAGTCTGCTGAACGCTACCTGACGGACGCCGTTTCAGGACAAGAAGAGCCTCACATCCTGCCACTGGTCCTCTTCCTCCACGAAAGCATTGTACTGCTGGTGCATGCGTTCATATCGCGACGGGCTCAGCGAAGGGACGTGTCCTGCCTCGTCCTCGTTGGCCATGTCTCCCATACTCACACTCCTGGAAATGGAAAAAAAAACTGTAAGGAACACTGTAAGGATTTTGTCTGACAAAAATCACGTGTTGATTTTTCTTGTGTTGCACACAGTTTGGAGCGATGTGTAGCGTGCGATGATAAACAATACGCAGTCCATACATAAAAAGCAGCAGGCAAAACAAAAAAATTACAGTGAACAGAAATGACTGGCAAACCCCCACCCTCCAAAAAAAACCCCAAAAAAACCCAGCAAGATATATTTGACCAAATTTACTGATTTCAACCTAATAATCAGAATCAGCTTCAGGTTCAGAAATATACAAAACATTGAGTTACAAAAAAATATATTTTTGGAAGTTTTCTATGTTTTTTCAACTGAATTAGAACTATTTTGCGCCACTGAATCCGAAAATGACATCCATTTTTCTCAATCAGGTCAGGTTTTTATACTAATGTGACTTAGAGAAATCTGATCTTCTGATTGAATTGATGACATTTTTGTGACATTATCAGTTCATATCTGTTAATATTTCTCATCATCTGATTTTTTAATTCAGCACATCAACATGACCCAAAACAGTTGAAAAACACCAGACAATTTTTTTTCTGTTGACCAGTGTGATCCATCCATCCATCGTTCAATTGTTTCTGCGTTTCCACTGACCGTAAAATTGCGCAAATTGAAATGACAGTTTTTTTTTCCATTGGCAGATTATTTCACTTACAATATAAGAAATTACTGACTTAAGACAAGCTTATGTATCTGGATGAAAAGTTCCTTGCATATTAGTTTTGTCTTATTTCAAGTGTACCAAGATATTGCACAAGAAATTAGAGGAAAATTACAACAGATCTTGAGTTTTGAATAAATGAATCAAACGTTGTGGCCCAGCGGTAGAAAAGCAGAGTAAGATGTGAACAGTCGTGAACATGGTTTCAGCACGTTTGGGTGTTGCAAACAGTCTTTGCAGTTTATTAACCAACACGTTGACATGCAGGCCATGCATATGTCATCATGCAGGACGTCAGCGAGAGCGAGTCGGTGAAACTTACTCGTTGTCTAAGAGAAAAGCAACTCGTCGGCTCACCCTATAACAGCAGCAGAGGGGAGAGTTTGAGGATAACAGGAAGGCACGTCTCAAAGAAGCAGGTATGGAAGGTGAAAATGAGACAAAGTTCAATTGTTTCTATCATTGATATGAAGACATGACGAGCCGAGCAGAGAGAGAGCAGCTGTGATGTCAGTGCTACTGTCCTGTTGGTCAAATCAGAGAAAAGATGAAAAATCAAACATCACTCTCACATCATTGGAGGAAGCTCATCCTCCAGCCAGCATGGTTTCTTTTCCCGCCTCATCTTCCCATCCTCGGTTTTCTCCTCCTCTCTCCCCGCCTCTACCTGCTCCTCCACCCTCCAGGTGTGAGTCGAGGGAGGACTGGGAGGACGTATAAGTGAGGAGGAGGAGGAAGAGGATGGTTCGATCGTATCGATAACGGCTGCGTCAGGGACCTGCCTCCCTGCCAGCCCAGGACACGCCGGACTCGACAGGGCTTTGAAAGGCGGAGCTTCAAGTTCCGCTGCCATGGCAACAAAGCTGCTGAAATAATGATCCAATGACAGAGCCAGGATTAACAGGAAACACATCGACACTGAACTGAACTACTACCACAAAAACTGCCAGCTCATCGCCTTGTAGGATAAGTTCACTCTGATTTTAAATCATTGTCTTCTGATTTGTTTTGAGCAAACTGGACCTTTCTGTGCTTTCAGCACGTAAAAACATTTGTTTGATCCTGACTAAAATACAGCAACGAAAACAATTGGAGATTGGTTCAATTTAAAAATTAGGAGGAGGATTAGGGCCACTGAAAAAAATAATCAGACTTTTCACATAATGCTGAGTTTAATCTCAAAATCCTGACTTTAATCCTGACAACAAAAATTTGAATTATGAGCGAAAAGTCAGAATTCTTAGATTATGGTTAGAATTCAGAGAGAAAAAAAGTCAAAATTCTGAAAAAAGTCAGAATTCTTTTATTTTTTTAGTGGCCATAATCCTCTTCCATACTAATACTCTTCACTGTTTTATTCTATGACTTGGACTGAATTTCCACTGAATTCGCCAGATTGGATATAATTAAATTAATTTTTTACTGAACTGAACTGAATAATTAGCATGTTTAGATTATCTTGATGTAAGAATCATTATTTTTTAAATTCATACAAATACCCAATCAGATAATCACAGACGTGTTATACCGTATTGTGAGTGGAGTGAACTTATCCTTTAGGAACAGCAGGGGTTTCATTGTGATTCAGTTCTGAAACATTAAACCCAGACAGTTTCACACCGAGCTGAAACCCAGCTGCCAAAGTCATGCCAACCAACGCCGGAGTTAGTGATCCAACAGCTGAAGAGCAGAACCATGTTAGAACTATAAAGAGCTCATAGTTTCCATTAATCCATATGATCAGAGATCAGCTATCAAGCACTCCTGCAGCAAACCAGAACCAGTCAGTTCATTCAGAAATCAGCAGGAAACCCTTCAACACTCCACACCTGCTCTGTCAGGTACTCTAGTTTGAACTGAAGTGGGTTAGAAACACACCGGCCGTGTCTTCATTCCATCTCAGGAAATACCTTCCTCCGTCCATGTCTGCTCTGAGTTTGGACGTGTTGCCTGACTGCTTTGCTGCAGTCTCTGAACTGATGTTGTGTCTGACCGACCCAGGGACCGGCAGGAACTGATTGAAGCCCTGATTTCCTCTGAAGATGGCCGCTTTCTGGAATGTCCCGCTCCTCCGAGCCACCATGTCGTCTCTGTCCAGATCAGGGATGTTCTTGTCTCTATCGGACTCATTGGGTTGGCCTTCAGTTTGGGTCGTTGCTCTGATTACTGGGCAGTGAGGCGTTTCTTCTGGGATTCTGGGCCGCTGGCTGGCCGCTCTAAAGCAGAACAGTCTGAACTGAAGTAACTAAAACACCAACGATGAAGAAGCAGGCAACACCATTCCGGTTAGCAGCTTCAGCACCCTGCTAAACACGGCAAACATCCGTTTTCAGCCCACCTGGTGCCAATGAGCACTTCCTTGTTGCTTGGAGGAACAGCATCAGTGGCAACTTCCCCTCGGCTGCTCCACCCAGACCCGGGCGGAGGCAGGAAACGCCTGAAATCTGCTGAGCCAGCTGTTTGTTTTAGGAAAGCACCTGTCCTCCTGGCCATCATGTCGTCCTTCTGAAGGTCGGGGATCCGCTCCTCTTCCTCTTCTTCGTCTTCTGCCTCTGCTCTCTGCTCGTACAGAGCAAAACGAGCGTCTATCTCGGCAGCTGTAGGGGTGGGTTCGGCCGACCAGGGTCGGTGTTCCGCAGGGGGAGGGGAGGATGCACATCCATCCATGACAACACTATAGCATACAGCAGCAGAGATGGGTGACTGACCCACAAACTGTCGCAATGATCCGCATAACACACAAAGAAACAGGTTAAGAGGAGAGCAGGAAGCAGAATAAATAATAATAAATAATAATAACATGTTCTGCTTCTCCAAATTATGGAAAACTACCTAAAAGTGGAAAAAACCCAAAACAAGTCCAAGAAATAATACATCTCCTAGAGTTGACTGTGACTCTGATAGGGATTAAATTTATGTTTGAGGTTAATAATTAAACATATTCCTTCTGGAAATATCCATGCACACATCTACCAAGCTTGGTAGAAGACTGGGAGATAATTAAAATGGTTAAGGTAGTATCTTATTATTGCGATTCAGCGGCTTGTTTAGACGACACTGGAGTTTCTTACACGGTGTTACACGACATTCTGTGACCACTGTATTTTGATCGTACAAGGCACTGTAGCATTTTAACACTATGCTACGCCAAAAAACAAAAATCAAAACAAAACAAAAAGTAAGTTTTGCGGTAATGAGGGTGCGGGTAAAATAAAGAAAAATCCGAACCAAGAATAAAAACTAAAATAAAAAGTCGAAAAAAAAAAAATAAAGAATAAAAACTAACATTTTACCACTAATATGACAACTATTATGAAAATATTGACGATCACAGAATATGACTTCTTTTTTGAAACCAGGTCTCACAATAAAACTTTTCTGTAACACGTCCCGTAGAAGTGTGAATTAGTACTCCACAAGTGAGAGCGCACATGCGCAGACGTAGGCAACAGGTTTTATTCTACGCATGAACAGGCAGACAACAAAAACAATAGTGGATAGTATATTAATGTTGTGCAGTGTTGTGCTACTTAATCTGTTCACAATCCTGTCGAATATTTTCTGGCAGGAAATCAGAAATGTTATACGAGTACGCCATTCATGGGAGACTGTAACCAACGGGTTTAGAATGCGGTGGAAGCTCAGGGTCAAAAGCGCATGCCAGTTCGACGACATGCTAAAATCACAGCGCCATATAGTGGCCTGGCATGATAACTACAGCCGACTCAACTACAGCGGTCTCGCAAACGCAGCCTAAAACATGCAGGATGCCAGCCCCCGAGCAGCAGATGAATGAAGCACTGAAGCCTCGCTAAAGTTTGGACACCCCCTGAACATTTACAGTCACATCTTTCAAATGTTTTGGGCGAGAGGTGGGGTACACCCAGTCTGTCACAGGGCACTAAGAAGAACATGTTGAGTTAAATTATTGTATTTAAAATGTTGCATAATTTTAGCCATTTAAAGCTGCAGCATGTAACTTTTATAGAAAAACCTTACTATGTGTATATGAGGCAGATAACCTGTAAAAAGATCAATCTCCTTGTGCTGCTATTGTCGTCTCAAGAAAACAACCGATCCCGCTCATAAACAATCAATTAGAGTCAGGTGGAGGATTTTAATCAATCTTGTGAACGTGCTGCTAAATGTGCTAATGGCGGAGAATCAACTTACTTAGCACTCACTAAGGCTAGTCAGACATGCTAGCAAACTAGTCTAGCATGCTAGTTAGCCTAGCATGGCTTCTCCCCATCAGGCATGGGAAGAAGCTCCATTGTAGCAGAGAGGAAGGTGGTTGTTGGAAAGGGTAAGAGTATGCACTCGGGTGTGATTGACAGCGCTAAGACCCGCCTCCTGGCTCTGATTGGTTGTTTCAATTACATCACTGGGAGGAGGCAGAGGAGCTTGATTTTTTTCATATTATCTTTCTCATATCCTACTGTCACCACATAGTGACAATTTTAACAAATACATAAAAATATATGTGTATTTTTTATAAAAGTTACATACTGCAGCTTTAATTAAGACCCATCAGGTGCCTGATTCTTCTTGTAGTTCTGCATGCGTTCGTGCAGCTTTGTTTCCTACTGAAACTACAAGCAGGTAAATGCAACGCAGAGCAATTCAGAAGTGCTTTCAAAATACATGAGATAGTAAAGGGAAATTTGTCATTAGGACCCTGAAACATGAGGCAATAACTACTGACTAACTACTCTATGAGTAAAGCAACAGAAAGGGGCCAGTGCTGCTCAGAGCAATGGAGGCTGCTCTGGGCTTGGGGCTCGTCATGTTTGGCCTTGTCCGTACCTGCGATTCCCCTCTGAAAGCCAGGAGCTCAGGTCAACGGTAGTCATTGATACCGCTGCTTTGGACTGGAGTCGTCTAATTGACTCTGGCTCCTCCCCTCCTCCCGCTGTGACTGCCTCTGTCGGCTGCTCGATCTCAGTCAGACCCCCAAAGGTCACAACCCTGCCATGACCTCGTCCAGCCTTTGCTGATCCGCTGATTCCGTAAGTTCTCTGCAGACAAGCCTGACACACGGGGGCTGGCCTATCCTCACTGTAGATGCGGTCTCACAAGTTAAGAGAAGGAAACACACACACACATACACAGAGGCACAGGAAGCAGACAGGGACAGGGCGGAGGAGAAATCATGGAAAAGAAGATCAGACTTTGAAGACAAAAGCTTGATGAGGTTGAAATGTTTAGTTAGACGGGAAGCGGTGGGTGAACAGAGGACAGAGCATGGGGTTTTCTGTTTGGATCACTTCAGCACACAAACACACTTCACATTTCTATCTCTTCCACTATTAGGTAGCCGCATTTTCCTCCTCACTGCTGCTCGGCTGGAGCACAAAACACCCCTTTATCCTGTTCCTCATGTCGCAATGAGATCAGCACAGAGACAGAAACAAGGCCGGAGCAGTGCTCTCACACACACACAGTTACGCACACACACGCCAGCCAATTCCCTGCTCCTTTTAATGCCAGTTGAACGAGAATATAGAGAAGTGGAAAGCTCCAATGACAATTAAAATGTGTTTAGAAAGTTAAAACTTCTGAATGTGTTTCTTTAATAATTACTAACTACATGTTTGGGGTGTAAACAAGACACTGCAGTGGTTATCTTGGGATGAATCATTTCTGTTGATTGATAATGACGCAGATGAACACATGTGCAATTCATTGCACAGTTGAACACATGTGCAATTCATTGCACATGTGTTCATCGCAGTGCACTGTGGTGTTGGTTTGATAGGCGTTTTCTCTGGGGGAAAAAGGAAACTGGAAAAAGTTGCAATTCTTCATCAACTGGAAGAAAAACTAAAGGTGTGAAAACGCCTTCCGTCTCACCTGACCAAATATTCTCCCTAACGTCCAATTACTCTACATGTTTACATTTGTGATGGTAGTTGGTATAAAAACTGTTTTCTCCTTCCATGTGATGGTTGTTATGGAAACCTTGCCTCTCTGCATGCTGTTTTTTTTGCTGCTGTTCTTTGAGATACGTCCCTCCCTCACCGCGTCCTCTCTGTGCGTGGGGGGAAGATGAATTTGAGTCATCGTAAAGCCTCCCCCCACAGTTTCCACTGGTTTTAAACTTTGTTTTTATTATTAGGTGAGTAGCAGTCGTCTTGCTGCCATTTCCTGATTCAAAAAGATGAGTGCACATCTATCTTACAATAAAAATAAAAAACAGCAAATCAATCATCCAACCAATGAAAAAAGTTGACACAAACTATTGGTTGGATTTTCCTAAAATGTTCAGTAAGATATTAAAGTTCAGCAACAAAAGATGAACACATTTTAAGGCTTGGCTAAGTGTGGAGAGTCTGTGTCTGTATGTAGCTAACCGATACTCTAACTCACATTCAAGACTCAAACTCACTATTAGAGCTTTCACTTTGCATTCATTTACGGAAGCATTAGCTATTTTTAAAGGTAATTTAACACACACACACACACACACACACACACACACACACACACACACACACACACGTACACGCACGCACACACACACTCGCACAGATAGATATGATGCAGTCATGTGAAAAAAAGAACACCATACAGCATTCCGGGCGAGAGGCAGGGTACACCTTGGACAGGTTGCCAGTCTGTCGCAGGACTTTAACAACTCTGCAAAGTTCAAATTATACGCTAAAAGTGGTCTTAATAAACCTTCAAACATTGCCATAGGATCTACAGCAGTTACTGTCAAGTCTTCTGGAATAATGCTCTTAGGGCAGAGGAGTCTAACCCTGAATTATTTAGATACTAAAGCAGAGGAAATATTGGGTATGAAACAAACAGAGCACTCCAGGAAAAGAAGCATTGAGGTCAAAGTGTCATGGTTTGGCTGGACCTGGACATCTCATCTTCATACGACCCACCATGAATCTCAGCAGGTATCAGAACGGAGCACCGATCCATACCAGGACATCCAGCCAGGACTTCCTGAAAAGTCCTGGACCAATCCAAGCCAACATCCTGATCTCCTTGAGAAACCCTTCAAACATCTCCCAGCTGTAAGTGAGGAGTGGGTCAGACTTTCCTCAGGCTGACGTTAGAGATGGTGGAAGGCTATAGAAGTGTCCAACAAGGGGTAAGACTATGTATTAGGGAGGTAGGTTGTCCTACATTATTTCTTATCAAACACATGAAGTGGTATCGTGTCTGGTGAGTAAAAAATAATATTTTTTACAATGGTTACCTGTGATTAATCACTTTCTTTAACTGAGACAAACAAAAGAAGGACTAAATTTTGATGCGTTTGTGAACATTTCTTTTGAAAAACTCATTGTTTTAATGGGGTGTCCTAACTTTTTCACCTAACAGTACATCCCTGACGTACAGCACTGAACTACTCTCATACAGGCAGTGTGTTTGGCACCTTGGTTCAGTCATCCTGAGCCTCTCCCACTTCTGTACATCAGACGGACTCATGGAGGAGGAAACAAAGCTCATTGGTCCGTCCCTCTGAGGGAGGGGCCTGCTTTGGCCCCGCCTACGAGCCAGGTCATCTCTCTGCTTATTTGGCATCGTCTTATCTTTTCCCTCTTCTCCCTCATCCTCCTCTTCCTTCAGGGAGGGGTTGTCTTCACGGGTTATGATGTCACAGACCGCTTCCTTCTCGCTGTAAAATCCATAGCCACAGGCGATAAGCGGGGAAACGTTATCCATCAGAGTTAAGCATATGTCAACCACTGATATATGTTACTGGACTGGACATTACGTGACTTATGTGCCACACGTGCGCCATTACTATGTATTGAGTCAGGAATATCAGTGATCGGGGAAAATAAAACAATAATGCAAAGAATGTGAAAAAGGGAAGCAATGTTTTCCTTTTAATTGTCAACACTATGCCAACTAGATCACAAGATACAAGGGAATCCCATTTTACAGGTCAGGAAAAGGTTTTAATTTTAAAAAAATATAGAGAAGTGGGAAGTAGGTGAGTTATGCAAGCTTGATTTGAACCTTAAAGTCAAGCTTTAAGGTTAAAGATATAATAACTAGTTGCTGACTAGTTATGCTAGCTTAATATGTACTGTGCAGGTTGGTGTTGTTTTGGTTCAGTTAACAGAAAAATGAGGTGACCAACACACCTACTCTCTGACAGATAATCAGGAGAAGAGGTGTTTAAATTGAGTAATCAATCAGCGCTGTATTCAGACCATCCCTTATTAATAATTGCAATGTAAACATCAAACATCAATGTAAACATTGAGCCCATTGCATAAAACTGTAATGGGCTTAATGTTTTGGGGTTTTATGTACTTTTTGTGGGGGAAATGTTTTTGTGTTTTTTGATGTCGATTCATGATACACTTGAACGTAATCTCTCCCCTGCCAGCTAGTGGAGTTGTTGTCAGTTCATTGCCATGACAACGTGTCTGCATGCAGAGTAAAGCTGACATAGGCTGAGTTTCCATTAACCACAAAACTGTGCAACTTGAAATTACCAAAAATAAAAATGGACGACAGGAAGTGGTAGGAGGATGATGGTTTGTTTTTGGTTTTTTTCAGATAATCTGCAGCCGGATCCACCAGAGCTCTCACAGCATCACACAGTTCATAAAACGTTGGTGTCATTTAAACGTGTTGAATCCATAACTATGTTCATTTGTGATTTTACTTTAACTTCTTATTTAATGGAAACACCAAAGTTGCAAAATTGTGTTTTTTAGACGTTAGCAGAATGTAGACAAAGTTCTGCACACATTTGTGATGGAAATGCAACTACAGAGACAGAGAAAAGGCAGAATGCAAGTGGTTTAAAGTTGTTTTACATCTGTTTATCTGTATTATTTTCCATCGTTGTGTGCACTGCAGCAGTTGTAATTCCTAAAAGTTCAATAAACAATAAAAAGCTGGACTAAGAGCCTTGTTTGTTTGTTGAAGGTGGCAATAGCCATTACAATCATTAAGTAGGATGAAATATTTTATAA